GAACTAATGAATACATATCCATCACTCCATTGGCGTATAATTGTTTGAACACATGGATCAGATCAGATAATTCCCGTTTGGATAGACATTTGATGTCTTTGCGGACCCGTAGTGTCTTACAGGGAGGTTTCAATGGGTTTGTCGTTGAAAAGCGACTTTGAATGTAATTTTTAACTTTTTTTAACTGTTTCGGAGTAAACTTTGTTTGATGCATACATTTTCCAAACATTGCACCTCTCGAGCAATCATTGAATTCTAGGTTATATTATCATATTTTATCAGTTATTAAGTGAAAACAATTGTCAATTAGTTATCAATACTAACCGCAATCATCGAAACGATCAAATGAGTTGATGTCGAGTATGTTTGTTTGAAAAATTGATAGAAATAACACAATCTTTATGAGAAACAAAGACATTTCTATAGTTTACATTAGTATTATCTCATCGATACATTTGCTGTCAACATTTAAACTATACTGAAGTTTGCCATAAACTATTTAGTGACTAAAAATTATTATTTCTTATCGATTATATAATTTTGAAAGTAGTTTATTAAACAAAATATTTAAAAAACAAAGAATTATTTTTTATTAAATAATTTTAGTAAAAAAATTGCAAAACAAACATCAGATAAGACTTTAAGCACAAAGTTGACAGTAGTTTCCAAACTTTTCAAGTGAGCGTTTAGTATTGGAAAAATTTGCCAACAAAATAATTAACAACTGTTTGCTTAACTACTATTAAAATTGCACGTTTGAGTTGCAAAAAACTTTTGCTTTTAAAATATGAAAATAAAAACTTTGTTGCCATTCACATATTATATAAATACAAAAATACATTAAAAAGTTTTCATATTTAGAGCAACAAATTGAGGAAATGACTAATTGCTGCTTAGCTCTCATTGTTATTGTTTAGGTATCTTTAGGTATCGGAAATCATCGATTCTATTAGTGATAATAATTAATTTATTTGACCACTAATTCAATTTATTTCGCATATTTGATCAATTATTCAATTATTTGCTTTCATAAACGATTAGATTGTTATATTAGTAGTAATAATTGTCAAAAAGTGTTAAAAAACTTTATATTGGTTTCCAATGTTTGTGAAATCCATAAGAGTTCCGCTCAGCATATTAGTGGAGAAGTCCTTCACCCAAACAATCATATTATGAAATAAAATATACATTTAAATTTCAATTACGGTATTTGTTTCCCTTTTTTATTTAAAACATGTGTTTTGAATACTAACTTTTATAAAATTTGAAAAGCAGTAAAAATGTCAATTCAAGAGTGAATAAAACATAAGATTAGTTACCATTTAGCATAGCTATGATTATTATAACTTATAATTAATCAATTAGTTAATATAAATTAGAAAACAAGAGTTTTTATAATGAGATTTTAGAATTTTATATAATATTATTTCATTTATTCATAACTTAATAGCTTGTTATTACTGTTGTTATTACAATTAATCTGTTATTGCAGTAATTTGTTTTGACATTTCTTAGAAATTATTTAATAATTAAATTGAATACAAAACCGAATAATATTTATATTATAGAGTCTGGAGTACTTAGAAATGTACAGTATAAATTTATTGAAATTAAATTGTTTGATAAAAGTAAAAGTTTGCACAAAAGAATTACAGATATTATGATCAGATGTATAATTATAGTAGGATTTAAGATCAAAGTCAAGGTCTGTCTACTTTTGAACAATTGATGCTTTCATTCAATATAATATTATAAAAATATTTGATTGAATAGATTACATAATAACTCCTTTAATCAACACTCAATTTCATTGAACGGCGAATAAAAAAGTTTTATTCAATAAAATTTAATGTATTGAGAAAATAATGCAAATATTTGTCTACAAAAACATTATCAAAACAGTGTTTTGCGAAAATCACGGCTTTTTCTAAATTTTGGTTTCATTTTCATTGAAAACTATTGCTTCAAATGTTTTGAACGAAAAAGTGATTCTCATTGGAGAGAAGATTTGCATTGAAAAACTCGTTTTACTTCTTATTTTCAATTATTAACATTTTATACATAGCCTGGGATTTAATGAAAGCGCTGTCTTTTTTGTTTAAAACATATTTCTCATTTAGTAATTGATTTCAAATATAGCTATTTATTGATCATAAATAAGTTTTGATAGTAATAACTTATAATAAGTGTATTACTAATTGGTTAATAAACGCAAAACACAATGAATTTGTTTCCATTCATTCCGCTATCAATCGCTGCATTGTTTGCATTCAAACTCATTCTTATGTAAGTGTTTATTAGAAATAATTACTTTGTACTATATTTTTAGCTTAAATTGATTAATATTAATGATATTAACAGATATGTCTTAGCGGTCAGCTATGGACACGTGAAGCCAGTGTTCCCGTACATCAGTGATGCCGGAGCCACACATCCGGAGGCGGCCTTCTTCTCCATACTATTATATTTAGAGGGCTTTCTCAGTGAGTATACCATTACTTTTGACCA